ACTGAACTTGTAGGCGGCACAGCTACCGCTGGCCGCAGGAGGGTCCTTTGGAATCCCGAGATTTCGTTTTTATTTTCTCTTGTGAGAGTAATGGTCCGTTTTTAGGATAAGTTCACTCAACAGTTATGTGTGAGGGATTGTGTCACGTTTGTGAAATTAGTGAGTAAGAGCAGGCCCTGCCTGCCAAGAGCGTCTCAATCAGAGAAGGACAGGTGTACAAGCTAATGATAGTGAGGTGTAATAAAGATAAAAGATGCTGAGCCAGCCGGGCAAAAGCAGGAAGGTGGATGTGGAGGAGGGGTGGGGGGAAGGCAGTAAGAACCCAGGTAGTGACACGTGAGCGGAGCTCTGGCGGATGCTGCGTGAGGTTGGGCAGCGTGGGGTCAGAGACAGTACACAGTGGTGGGGGGAGGAGGGTCGGGGAGAGGGAGAAGAGTTTCCAGAAGTAGTTGGGGCCAAATTGGAAAAGGCCTTGAATGCCATCCCAAGGAGTCAGGAGTCGATGCCATACCCCGGGTGCCCATGAAGTTGGCAGATTTGAGACAGACTGCCTGGGTTGGAATCCAGGCCGGGCAACCGCTTATTAGCGGTAGAGCTAAGAGCACCCAGCCTCAGTTTCCTCATCTGTAAAATGGGAGTGATAATCAGAGGATTGTTGTGGGACTTCCGTGAGAGAATGCATGTAAGGCGTTGAACATAATTACCGCCACTTAGTTCTCAATGACTGCTGCCTTGGGTTATTAATAAACAAGGGAAAAACAACACTCTCAGCTCTGTATTGGGAGAGTCTGGTAGATAGACCAGAACAGAGTTGGGCCAAAATCTCAACTCAGTATTTGTCAAGTGACAACAAACTTGTACTAAAATTTCGTACAATTCTATATGATGACACTTTTAACAAAAGGGTAAGACGAATGTAGTTGAAACTCCCTAGTTCCTGTTTTAGGAAAGTCCTCGTAGTACATCTGGCCATCCACACGTCCACAGGTTACCCTGACCTGCCAGGTGACTAACAGGAATTTGATGCCGTGGCTTTCTTTTATCTGTCAGAAAGGTTACAGATTCTTGTGTTTACATTCTTCCTTTCATGTTTTAGCTGTCCTGGATAATGAGAGACTCACTGCAGAGGAGATGGACGAAAGGAGACGTCAGAATGTGGCTTATGAGTACCTTTGTCATTTGGAAGAAGCAAAGAGGTAACGATTGGCCGGCTGCAGAGAAGGGAGCTGTTGTGATGTGAACACAGATAAAGATCTCTTTGAATATGTCCTAGGTGTGACTGTCGGAGGCTGGTGGTTTGAAGGAATAAGTATAGGTAGGGTATTTATTCACGGGAACAAGTGGCCTTGATAGCAGCTTATCGTGAAACTCTGATGGGTGCTTATGTATTCTGAAAAATTCCCAGATCTGTGTTTGGTTTTATGCGTATCGTGCATGTTTTGGGGCACTACGAATTGTAGGGGAGAATAGCAGTTTGTGGGGGTTTTTTCCCCAAACTTTTCTTTTGTGTGTGTCTTTTTAAGTAGGCCCCATACCCAACACGGGGCTTGAACTCAGGACCCTGAGATCAAGAATCACAGGCTTTATGATTGAGCCAGCCAGGCGGCCCAGAAATAGCATTTTGGTTTTTGTTTGAAATAGCATTTTTTGAAGTTTAAAGTTCTTAGCCTGGTGTTTCACTGGTTTTGATTTATATATGAATTGGATTCGTTTTCCTCTTGGTAGGACTCTGGGGAAAGGTCCACCGGTTTGGCAGTATTCAAAGTTTGCCGGAGTCACCATCCTCTGCATTTTTTGGGAAGTGAACGTATAAGGGCGGTTTTCCCTTTTCAGATGCTGGGACACCTGGTGGTCTTACTCTTAGAGTGTCTGTTTGCTATCAGTGGTTCAGTTTTGTTTTGGTGCTGGTATTCCTTTGCAAGGCCCCGGGGCAGATAGATATAATTACAGATCTTGTTTCCTACATGTGAGCTTTGGTGGAAAAGGCCAGCATGGGGTAATGAAAGGTATTTGTGATCAAAGTCCAATGAAAATCAAGGATGTTTCAGTAGTGTTAATAAACAAGAGTATTTTTGTTTTGTTAATTCTGAGGCTCTTAAAACACTTTTAGGAAAGTCCAGAGAACAATACAACAAACATCCATGTGTTCCTGAAGTTACAAGTGTTAGCCTTTCAGCTCTTTTCCTTTTCCTCTCGAAAGACATGGTCCCTTTTGTGCCCCTCCCTGGTTCCGTTTTCCTTCTTCTGTCCCTGGGACTCTCTAACAGCATTCTGATGTCTTGAATCCAGGCTTCTTTGCTGAGCTTAAACCTCTTCCTTTAGACTGGGTACAGGGGGGCAGTTAGTGGTGATTTCGGTGGGGAGAATGATAATAACACTTGTTTTTCTAAATAGAAGGTTAGACAGCAGGAAGTGAATATGTGATTAGAAAAGAGGAGGGGCGCCTGGTGGCTCAGTCGGTTAAAGGACCCACTCTTGATTTTGGCTCAGGTCACGATCTCGGTCCCGAGATAGAGCCCCACGTCAGCTCTAAGCTGAGCGTGGAGGCTCCTTGAGATCCTCTCTGCCCCTGCCCTGCTCGCTCGTTTGCTCTCTCTCTCTCAAAATAAATAAACTTAAAAAAAAAAGAAAAGGGGATGTTTCTCATATGAAGTGTGTAAGGGCCCCATGGAAAAAAAAGAGTAGGTCCCTGTTACTTAAACTGCGCACTAGATCTAGTTTTGGAGAGTCAAAGAATTTGAAAGCCGCAGCTGGAATGAGAGACCATCCTGTGTCTCTGTTGCGGTGACCTGGGGATGAGAGGGAAGAACCCCAGCTCCCTTCCTTCCTCCATCCGAAGCAGTTCTGCTTTTGTTTTAAACTTGGGTTTCCACAGTAAAATTCCCTTTTTACAGAGCGTCTTGGCTACCACCCCCTTGCCACCGCTACTCTAGTTCAACGCCTCTTCCACTTTAACCATTTCATGTCAGTGAGGAAGCGGAAGCCTGAGTCTGCATGGTCTACTTGTAGTTTTCTGGACTGAAGATTAGTTTTTTGAAAGTCAGTCGTGCAGTGGTTCTCAACCAAGTGTGTGCATTAGGTCACCCGGGGAACTTAAAAATACAGATATCTCGGCCTTACCATAGAGACTCTGATTCTGTAGGTCTGGAAGGTCCAGATACCTGTATATCTTATTTAAGTTTATTTATTTTTTGAGAGAGAGAGCGAGCAGTGAGCATGGGGCGGGGGCAGAGAGAGAGGGAGAGAAAGAATCCCAAGCAGGCTCTGCACTGATAGCACAGAGCCTGATGCAGGGCTCGAACCCATGAACTGTGAGATCATGACCTGAGCCAAAATCAAGAGTCGGACACTCAACCGACCAAGCCACCAGGTGCCCCTACACCTATATATTTTAAATGGTTCTGGTGGTTCTGATAGGCTCCCCCTTAGTTGAGAAGCGAGATTTTTAAAAAAAATTTTTTTTTTTTTAACGTTTATTTATTTTTGAGACAGAGACAGAGCATGAACGGGGGAGGGTCAGAGAGAGAGGGAGACACAGAATCGGAAGCAGGCTCCAGGCTCGGAGCCATCAGCCCAGAGCCCGACGCGGGGCTCGAACTCACGGACCGTGAGATCGTGACCTGAGCCGAAGTCGGACGCTCAACCGACTGAGCCACCCAGGCGCCCGAGAAGCAAGATTTAAAATAGTTTTAGAGCTCTGCGTTATGATAGCCTGACGAGAATGGTGCTTTCTATCACATTTCCTTCTTTGCGTGTTCTGTCTGCTCATTTCCATCTGCTCTAGGGCCGTTCTTTTCTGTCGGGAGTTTTCCCTCAACCCTGAGATCCAGAGTCGGACGTTTAACCGACTGAGCCACTCAGGTGTCCCTCTGAGGTGTTTTTTCCAGAATAGAAAAGTAGCCCATTTCCTTTAACATCCATGATCACCTGCAGTGTTTTTTAGTTGGCTACTTTTGCATACTTAGGAAGTGACCGAGGAAGTGAGACCTTGGTGATACTCTGTATTTTTTTATGCTTTGGGTTATAAAGGAGGGTATAATCGTGGCGTATTGTCCTATTGGCCTGGCGTCGTGGAAATGTGCCTGATTTATTTTAGGGAGGCAATCCCAGGATGCGGTGGTGGTTGTTGTTGAAAGCTTTGATTAGAAAATCAAGTTGGGAGCATGTATTTAGATTTTACTACCAGAGGGGGCTAGGAAGAAGCCTGGGGTGCTCTGCAGAGAATAGAAGACTGGGATCCCTACTGGCCGTATGAAGCGGCTGCTGCCACCCTTAACAAGTGTTTGAGGTAAACCACGGACAAATCACATGCTCTCCCGTCGTAGCTGGGGCTTTAGCTCCCGTTGTGTTTTCTACCCTGGTGAGCTGGGCTGTCCCCGTGTGCTGTTGGTGCCCCACTTTCCCCTCTAGCGCAAGCCCAGTTTTCCTTTTTGGATCGGCCCCCATCCTGTTTCCTTCATAACCTCCACCCCTCCTGAGTTGGAGGAGCCCCAGGGTCTGGAATTTACGCCCCTTCCAAGTCCAGGAAGAAAGATCAGAGAGACCCAGGGGAGAAAAGGTTTCCCTCTTCGGTTCTATTTCTAGTACGGATACTCCTCCCCCTGGAAGCGCCACCTTCAAGTACAGTGGCTCCATTGTGTATCCCAGGGCGCTCCATTTTCTCCCGTACCTGTAACAGAGCTCTTCCCTGGGAAGAGAGGAGATTGTGTAGAGAGGGTGAAGATGAATGTGTGGAGACAGTGAGTGTAAGGGGGTTTGTAGAGACATGAGGGTGTGCCGTGGGTTTATGTTTCCCTGAAAGGTTAAGTGGGAAAATTTAGGAGTGATTCCGTAAAAGTGTGCACCTAGAGTGATTGGGAATAAGACAATAGATTCTGCTTTTCCCTATTTTTTGGAGAGTAGCTTTAATATGGAAATTTAGTTACTATTTTAATGAAATATCTGAGGATTCAGGGCTTTTTGTTACGAGCTGCAGAACAGACCAAGGACTTGAAATGTAGGTTTATTTTTTAATTTTTATTTTTAAAAAAATTTTCGATGTTTTTATTTATTTTTGAGACAGAGACAGAGCATGAGCAGGAGAGAGGGAGACACAGAATGGGAAGCAGGCTCCAGGCTCTGAGCTGTCGGCACAGAGCCCGACGCGGGGCTCGAACTCACAGACTGTGAGATCATGACCCCACCTGAAGTCGGACGCTTAACCGACTGAGCCACCCAGGCGCCCCAAAATGTGGGTTTATGTTGATCTTTTGCCTGTTCTGATTGTCTTCACATTTGTTTGGTCTGTGGAATAGCTGTATGGTAGAGACGACTAGCATTTTCACTTAGTTGAGAGAGGCGAAGTGTAAATATGTGAGCTACACTAGGCGCTCAGGTCTTGGAGAGGAGAAAGTGATACAGAGAAGGATCAGAATGTTCACGTGAACAGACTCAGGAAGAGAACATATCAGGCCGGGCAGGACGCGTAGTCTGCAGTGAGGAGAATGTATAAATGGAAACAGGAGAAAATTCAGTTAGTTTAAAGGTCACAGGAAGAAAGTTAATCCCAGCACTCTCTGGGGTTGAAGGTTAAGGGTCCCTTCTTTCAGAGGCTTGCTGTAATGCCCTTTCAAGACCTGTCATGGGCCACCTTTCTCTTGCTGTGTCCATACCCTATCTGAAGGGGCAGGGCCTACCCCCCCCCCCCCCCCCCCCCCCCCCCCCCCCCCCCCCCCCCCCCCCCCCCCCCGCCCCAACATACCCCCAGCCCCGTGTAGAAGGGAAAGCAGGGCTCTGGCTGGTTGGAGACTGGCAGAGACTTTGCATTGTTAACAAGAGCATGGCACTAAACAGGCACTCTTCCTTCTGTAATTTAGGGGAATTGCTTGAGAACAAATTCTCTTTTGTGCATATGACTTTGTTGTTGGCATTGAACGTTTTCTAGGATGGGCTCTTTAGATCTCTACATGGGAGCAGAATTCAGTAACATCTGGATATATCCAGGCTAGCACACCATGATCATGAAAGCAAGTTAAAGATATTTAAGATTAGGCAAGAAAAAAAAAATGGATAGGTGAGGGGATTCAGAAGAACAACACCTTGCCCATCAGCCTCTACAATTCTCAAGTGGAGGAATATCCCTTCATTTTTTAGGAGGTTGGCGTATGTTTTCCTTTTACAGATGGGAAAACTAATTTAATTGCCTCATGAGACCCTG